ATTTCAGGTGGTATGTCATTTATTTTGCCTTTTATTATATTTAATTATTGTTTCCTGATCCTGACAATGACGTAAACTTGGGCACATTTTGTTTTATCTGTTCCTACTCTTTATCTTCACACATTTGTTTCAAGATTCTGTTTTCGGTAAAACTGTTGTGTGCTGCTTAATTGCCATTTGTCACTGGAGATGCCCTGTTGACATGAAACAGTGATTTTTTTTTTTTTTTTTTAACATTTACGGTACTGTTAAAAATGAATGAAATCTCCTATTACATTTGCTTGCCTACTCATTGATTCTGCCTACTTTCTTTTTATCTATTCCCATGTTTTGTTATATGTGTTACTTTTTGTATGTTTTAGTTTATTAAATTAGACAAATGTGATAAGCAAATGTCAGTTAAAATTTTAAATTGACAGCCCAAATTCTCTTCAGTCTCTGTAAAACATAAATGACTTAAAATTGTTTTAGAATAGAGGTTTTGCTGTTTTAATGCTAAAACTGGGGTTGGGTAAAATGTTTTGTACTTAGGAAGTTTCACAAATAGAAATGTTTCATATACATTAGATTATGACGACAATATGTTAGGCAGTAGATGAATTTCAGCAATTCAAAAAATATTTGAAAATACTGACTTTCAAGTGATGTGATGCTTTGGGCTGGTGATGTTGTATGTACTAGGTTATGTGGGGAAACTGAAAACACATTGATTATTGATTGATGAGGGCAAAATACTTTTAATAGTAGGGTTTAGGATTCTTAAATGGTTTATTACACTATTTCCAGGTGAAGCTTTCCTTTGTAATTATAAGGGTGGTAAGTTTGGATGAAGATCCAATTGGATGAAGTCAGTTAAAAAAGTGCGGTACAAAATTCATCATTCTGGGAACATATGTTAAATGAGAACAGACTGAATTTAATGGGAAAAGTAAATAACAGTAGTTTAAAAAATATGTTCAGTTGGCAGGGTGCGGTGGCTCATGCCTGTAATCCCAGCACTTTGGGAGGCCCAGGCGGGCAGATCATCTGAGGTCAGGAGTTTGAGACCAGCCCAGCCAATATGGTGAAACCTTGTCTCTACGAAAAATACAAAAATTAGCTGGGCATGGTGGCACACATCTGTAATCCCAGCTACTTGGGAGGCTGAGGCAGGAGAATCACTTGAACCCAGGAGATGGTGGTTGCAGTGAGCCAAGATTGTGCCACTGCACTCAAGCCTGGGTGACAGAGTGAGACTCTGTCTTAGAAAAAACAAATAAAAATAAAAATACGTTCAGTCTACTGGCATTTATCTTAACTATGAAGTACATGTTCACTTATTCCTCAGTGTATTAGTATATTTTTCTTAAACATGAATGTTGAGTTTGTATTTAACAGAGTCTTAACAATCATTTCTTACTTTGTCAAGAATGTCAATACATTTTCTCCTCACTGGATGCTTGACTTGTTTTTTAAATCTTCATTTTGAAATGAAGTATAGTTTAACAAGTAAATAAATGTCTACTTAAAAATATTTTAAAAATAAATTTAATAGAAACTTTAACTTAAGTAATTCAGAGTCCTCCCCTTTCTTTTTTCATACTTGAAGTGTGAGATAAAGAGAAAAAACATACTGACAGGGAATGATGCGACTTCTCTAAAGCCGAAGAATTTTCAAAATTACTAAGATCTTTGAATTTTTAGTGGTTTATTTGATAGCCTTACAATTATCCCTCCTATTGGAGAAGTGAAAGCAAGTTTAGAAAATGTAAGTGTTTCAAAATGATGTTAAGTACTAAGTATTAAAATAGTACTTAGGATCTGGCTTGATTCATAGGAACTGGATGGTAGAGGTTCAGATAGCTAGTTTATTACCCATAATTTAAAATAATTTAAAAAATAGAGCTTAGTTTTTCTTTTAGACAAAGTATATGTCATCCCCTCCACACTCCCCATTTTTTTTGCAGCCGGTCTGCTTGACTTAGCTTTGGAAAACTGAATAATTAATTGCCAAAGAATAAGTAGAAGCATTTTTGGTGAGAGAACCTAAAAGAAAAGGAATAATGTTTTAACAACAGGAATGATGTTTTAATAATAGAGGTAACACTTATAGCATCTTCTGTCGTGTTGTAAAATTTCCTAGATACTTATTTTGACTAGCTGCTGCATGGTGGTATGGATTGGGAGTGAAGGAACTGGATCTTAGTCTCAGCCATCTCAGTGATGCATTATATTACCCAGTAGAACAATCATACAACCTTTTTGTGCCTCAGTTTCCTCTCTGTAAAATGAAAACCAGGCCTCTAAAACAAAGAGCCTGCTGTTAGTAAACCCTGCAGCACATAGTCCCAGTTCCACTGGATGAAGCCTGAAATATAAAAATCATTAATGGGTGATGTTGGTTCTATTGCGAGTTGAATTATGGAGACTGATAGAATCTTAGGCCTGTTACTTAACATCTTTACAGATTCTGTTTCTTTTCTTGTAAAATTAGAATAATAATGCCTATCTCATGGTTGTTTTGAAATTTAAAATTGCAAATATAGGTAAAGTGTTGAGGCTAATGCTTGTCACTGTAGCTATTATGCTATTTTAATTATTTTTTTTTCTGCTAGTTACTGGGCAGAGTTTACTCTTCAGGGCCTTGAGTCCTTGAGGACAGCTAGTTTGCACCATATTCTTTATCACCTCCCAAAAACATTAGCTCCTGTTGTTTTATTCCCCTGCCCTCTCATTTCCAAATTGCCCAACCTTTCATTTTCACTGGTTCTTCCACTGCTCCCCTACCTTCCACCCTTTTCTAGTCTACTTTTTGGAAACCTAGAAACTAAGCTTACCAATGTATTTTTTTATAGTCACCAAATGATCTCTGTACATCTGTGATGTCATTGAATTCTTGTTTCCCCAAATCCCAACTAACAAACCCATACATGCACCTTTACCCAGTCACTTTTTGGCAGCGATCTCCTATAGAAATGACTCATTATTTCACATCACATCTACCTTTCAGATTTTAGTGTTACTATCTATTTGGGATAACATCACTAGAACAATGTTTAATAGTTTGGTGTAATGTACATGTCTGCCTTGTTCCTAATTATTTTTTATTTTCCCCCTAAGATATTAATGAGCTACATTAAATAAATGTGTACAGTCATAGTCGTTGAATAAAGATACTGCTGATTGTAAGAAGCACATCTGCTTTATGGACTAATAAGAAAAAAATACCAATTATTAGACACCATCAATTGTGAGATGCATTCCTAATTCAAAGATGTTAAAATGTGAAAAAATGTAAATGAGGATTGATGAGATATAGTATAGTATTTTTAGTCTTATTAACTTTTCTGTTAAAATTTCTGTATATTCTTGCTTGCTTGATAGAAACTTTTCAAATTTTCTTACTTTTGCAGTCTCAGTGAACTGTATCTGAATTACTTTTCGCTTCATTGCAGACTAAGAGACATTTTTACTTGGTCTAGTTCTTTCCAAATGTTTAATGTTTTTATGATTATATAACTTGATCATCTTCTGTTTACAAATTCCCATCACAGCACAAAGATGCAACATCTTTTGAGTGCTTGAGATGGAAAACATTTTTTTTCGATTTTCAGGAAGGGTGAGCTATACTGATATTTTCTCAGCTCCTCTCTCCACACACAGAATTACATATTAACTCTTCTTATGCTAACTTCATGCTGGTACCACTGTGATATCATAGAACCCTCTGACTTTATACTGTTTACCTTTTTAATTTTTTTATTTTACACAATTTTGAAGCTTATGTTTATTCTGCCTTCTATGTCATCTTAGAGCTTAATGATAAAGCCTCCCCACTTTTTTATCTATTTTTCTCCCCTCTCCATTACTTCCCTTTCTCATTATCTCTAGAGGAAAGACTTAGAAATGTAGTTTACTCTGAGAGAATACTTACATTGAGGTGAGGAAGAATAGATAACCTAGAGGTGATTGTATATTGGAATTTAGTGCACTTTAAAACTCTTGGGAGAAGAGTCGCTATATTTTTTGTTTGAAGAAAGATAGTTCTGTGTACACTTGAGGGCTGCAACTCAAGGCAGATGTCAGGTAACCTGTTAAATCTGGATTGTCATCTCAAGGACATAGGGGTGTGTGTCTGGGAAATCAGAAAGAAAAAGAAATTAAGAAAACTGATCTCTCTACCAGTTAAAACATTTTAAGAAACTCAAGTTCTATGTAAATGATGTAATATAATATTATAATGTTCGTAAATCTTATACTTAGTTTCTAAAAAGAATCTCAAGGAGGTACTGTTTGGTTAGTCATTCCTCATAGATGACACTGAAACTTAATTAAACTGGTTTAAATGATTTTCAAATTGTTTTGTGCTTACTGAGTAATGGTTCTTACCATTGGAATTCACAGATTTTTAGGGAGGAGGTTCTATGAACTGAACTTTTATGTAAAGTTTGGGCATTAGGCACAATTTATTAGTGGGGTTTTGTAGGGAAACTCCTCAAAGGGATTATTATTAATAACTCAAAAGAAATAAATACATTTCTGCAGAGTTCTAGGTCAGCACTGTTTCTCTTTTATCTGGACTTCATTGTGATCTTGATTGTAAATAAGTAGAATCCCAGGGTATTTCAAAGCTCAAAACAAAGAAAACTTGTCAGCCCTGGAAATGGGAGCATTGTTCAAGTGGTGCACTAAAAAAAAAAATGGCAATACTGCCTGCAAACTACCAGGGAATTCACTTTTAGGAAGTAGTAAGTGTACTGTTTTCACAAAAAAAAGACATTTAGAAGATTATGGACTATGGATCAACATATGTTGGTAAATGTGAAGGATTAAAAATATGCTTCTATTTTAACTTGAGTGATTAATTTCATAGTTGTGATTTAAAGTATATTTCTAAGGAGAATATATATTGGAAATAATAAATTATTTGGTGTTTGTGTATATGTGTATATGTGTATGTATGTGCAGGAATCACTTTTTAATGTTCATGTGAGTAATGAAAATACTTTTTTTTATTATAGTGCATGCAAGATATGGGAAATACTAAAGCAAGACTACTCTATGAAGCCAATCTTCCAGAGAACTTTCGGAGACCACAGACAGATCAGTATCCTTTAAAACTTACTTGTTTTGAGTTTAAAAAACATCAACTCATTTTTACAGTTCACATTTTATACGTTAGTATTTAGGAAGATGTGAACTTTATCACACTATTGTTCATTAAAGGTAGATATTGACTTGCTGTGAGCTGTGCTTTGTATATAGTAGGTTTTTAGTAGGAATTTGGTACACAGATTACATAATTACATAAAAATATATGATACATATGGTATTTAGAAGTAATTAGAGACCCCTGAATCACAATGATGATTTAACTTACAATTTTTCCACTTCATGATGGTGAGAAAGCAGTATGCGTTTGGTAGAAACTGTACTTTGAGTACTAGTGTAACCATTCTGTTTTCACATTCAGTACAGTATTCAATAAATTACATGAGATATTCAATACTTTATTAAAAATATGCTTTGTGTTAGATGATTTTGCTCAACCGTAGGCTAATGTTAGTGTTCTGAGCACATTTAATGTAGGCTAGGATTGGCTATGTTTGGTAGGTCAGGTGTATTAAATGCATTTTTGACTTAAAATACATTCAGCTTAGGATGGGTTTACTGGAGCCTAACCCATTGTAAGTTGAGGGGCATCTCTGTTACTAAGTGTAAAATGTTAAGACTGATTCTTCTTGACTGTTCTCCATCTCTCGATTAGAAAGTATATGTTGTTTATTATTTTAGACTGTTATTGGAGACTTGATTTGTAACTATCCTGAGTATTTTAAAAATCATTTCCATATAATCTTTGATTACCTTTATATAGGAGTTATATTTGTGTGAGGCCTTGTGGCATTTAGAAGACAAACTACATAGTATAAATTCTGAGTAATTTATGCTACTGACACTCTGTTGTAGGTTGCGCAACTATGTTTGCTTTATGAATCCACCTTTATGAGTGGATAGAATAGTTTCCCACATAATCTGCCTTTATGAGTGGATAGAATAGTTTCCCATGAAAACATTTTAATGTTTTTTATGTTTGTTAAATATAAAATCATAATTCTGTAGGATTTTTATAACTCATAGTTTGAAAAAGCAGCTCATCAAAATGATGTTGCTTTATAAATAAGATTATCTGATTAATTGTAGGTGCTTGGATTCCGTTTGAAGGTAACATTTGTGACTTTGACAATAAAATGTAGTTTATTAAAGATCAATTATATTGTACCTATTTGTATAGTAAAACAATTTTGTGGCCAGTGGAAGAAATATCTTTTCTCACACGGTGATGTGTAGGTCATTATATATTTATTTCCACATTTGGACAGAAACCTTTTAAATTATAATTGAGAAGTTAGTAATTTGTATTTGGCCTTTTCTGTTTCTGCTCACCCCACTCCTTTCTCACAAATTTAGCAATCTGATATCCAAGGCTGTTTTTGTTATAGAAAGTTTGCAGGGTTAATGGTAGAAGGTTGATTTCAGGTATAAAAAAATTGTGTGAGTAAAAGTATGGAGAGATGAGAGAACATGACCTTTTAGGGCAGAAGAAACTTGGAAGGTATTTTAGTCCAAATTGCGAAGGGTTTTCAGTATGATGTAGAGTAGTTTAGACCTCATTTCATTGGCCCAAGTGTTTAAAAACACATGAAGGGTTTTGAAGCATTAACTTCCACCATAAGGAAGAATAGTTGGAGGTGGGAGGAGAGCCTAGAAGCAGAGAGACCATGTGAAATACTTGTATAGCCCCAAAATGAGCAGTGACGATCTAAGTTAGATAGTGGCATTGGGAATGGGCAGGATTAAATTGGAAAGATTGGAAAGAAGTTGGGAAAGCTAAGTTAAGATTGGCTTTGGTTCTGAGGGAGTCACTAAAGTAACCCTGAAATTTCTGACTTGGTTGACCATAAAACTTATTCACTGAGAGAAGGAATTCGTTACCAGCAGGAGGATTAAGAGTTAGAAATGAAAGATAATGAGCCATGCTTTCTTGCTTTGGGCAGATTGATGCTTCTGTTACACATATATATGAAGTTACCCCATTCAGTGGCTGGAAACAAGAGTCTGGACCCTAGAAGAGAGCAGTACATTCAGATTGAGGAATCACTTAGCATGTGGGTGATGATAAGAAGTGCTGGTCAGGCTATGTTTACTTAGGGCAGCAGTCCTTTATTTTGCAGATTTTATTGAGAATCTTGAGAATTCTTTTCCTTCTCTGAAAAATGAAGCCTATGGCTGAATCCTAAAGAATAAAGCATGGTAGAAGGAAAAACAGCCCAGCATACAAATCAGCTCTGTAGGTGGTTGTTACCAGCTGCTTGCTGGTTACATTAATTTATCCCTCCTTTTTTTGCGCCCCACTCACAAGCCCAAGTTGATATATATGACCCCTCAAATTGAAGAATCTTCCTTTTTTGAAAGTTTGTGTCATGGCAGCGTAGGGAGGTTGGATTGGGTTGGATTTTTTAGGTGTCCCTTGATATAACAGGGTAAATTACTGGAGATTTTTGAAAATTTTGATTTCATCCTTTATGTGTTACCTATGGATGAGAGTAGCTTCCAAGTTATTTTATTTATTACACTGATTCCATATTGTTTTCAGATTATCACGAAGTATATTGAGGGAAGGACAGTATATATCTTATTGGTATCCTCACTTATTGAACTATTCTATGCACCATTTTGTGCAGATTGGTAGGAATGCTATTTCTTCATTACCACCAATTTTATGATGCACCTTAGAGAGATAAAGTGCTGATGAGATAATGCCTTGTTGGTTCTGTTATCTTGGCTGATGTATTTTAAAATATTTGGTCCTTATCTATAGATTTCAGGAAAGATGAGATTTTTATAGTGAATTGATTAGTGTCTAGTATTGGTAACTCCTTGACCTTTGACACAGTGAAGATAGAATACTGGAAACAACAGCTGCAATAACGTTGCTGCTTATAAGGGTTTGTTTGCCCTATGCCAAGCCCTGACGATGGCATTTTATGTACATTTTTTTTTTTTTTATTTCTCAAAATAACTCGGTGACATAGAGTGTAATATTTCCTTTGTCAGGAGTGGGGTGGGAAGGATGAGATGCTCAAAGAGCTATGAAGAAACTTGCTAAAGCCTCCAGACTTTCCCTCCTATGTCGGGTCACTTGAGTATTATTTAATGATGGTAGTCTGAGTAAAATCAGTGCTGCCACATTTAAGTCTTGATTACCTTTGAAAATAGATAGGGTTATTATAATTTGGCACTCTTTGCAGCTAGCTTGTAAGATCTAGGTGAAGATTTCAACTTTTCATTACCTGGTATGATTTATGTTAGGCTTTTGGATTAACTGTTTTTGCTGTTGTTACCTCAAGCATTCTTATTTAATTTTTCACACTAGATGTTACTCCTTTTTACAAATTATGGTCATATTTATGTGAGGTGTTGATCTTTATTGTTCATATGGTTGTCAGACTTGTTTAAGGAGGGTCTTTGTCTAACATGTTTCAGCTAGATGATTACTTATATTAAGAGTATAAGATGACAATTCTTGGACTGTGAGGCTAGTTCCCATATCTAATGTAATCTGTAGCCTTTAAAAAAATTACCTTGGTTAATATAACACAACACTTTTTATTGTTTTAATTCTGAAATACTGTAATTTAGAGGTTTTGTGGGGGGAGGCTGGTAAGAAAACCAGCTTGCCTTTCTCTGTTCCTCCCTCCAGTCTTTCCTTTCATCTATCTGTCTTTCTAAAGCTCATTGCTCTTTGAAAAGCCTAACATCTCTGTACTTTTATAGATATAAATATAGTTGTCTCATCCCTAGAGCAAGTATAACCAAACTGAGTTAAACTCATATAATATGGGACCTCATTGCATTCTTAACAAGATTTGTCACTTTTTAAAAAGCTTTGCAATTTACAAAAGTTATGCAAAAGCTGCTGTGAAAGTGTAATTTCTCATGTGGGATGTGGTTAATTATAGGCTTCATGTCCTAGTGCATGACAAATGATAAAGCTTTACATTAAGCTTTTTATTATTAGGATATTTTGTCTTATCTAAAAAACTTTAATTACTTCTGTTCCATGAGATCTATTGTGCACCAAAGCTAATCAGCAGTTCTCCTTTGAGCTTTTCAAAGTTTTACTGCTGTCAGTGCTGTGTGTCTGAAACTGGAAGATTTTGTTCTTTGGGAGTAGATATTAATTTAATTGTCTTTCAAATGGTATATTTTTAAAGAAAAAAATCTTAAAATATATAAATACATGTTAAAAGACAAAACATATAATAATGTTGGAATTTTTCTGGGCTTGTATAGTACCAATTGTTAGTTTTGGGGACAGGGAGAATTAGGGGTGCTGTACTGAGTGCTTTACAACTGTAGACTTGGGGAAGATTCTGGGATAATTTGATATTATTTAGTAAGTCCCAAATTAAAACTTGAACCGTTATTGTAATAGTGTATTTCTTACCTGACTCCCTGAAAATATTATTGTTCTGTTTTTAAATTTTTGAGTTGTATTATTGATCTACGTCAGTATAATTAAGTCCTTATATCTCAAATGACTTCTGGAGACTGTAAAATGAAGATAAATAGTTCCTGATCTCCAAATTCATTGGTTCTTTTGTTGTTGTTTCTCATTTACTCATCTGTTTAAACTTAATGGTATGCAAGCCATCTTAGCCCTCAATACAGTAATTCTATTTCCTCTTGCTACCATGGACCTTATCTTTTAAGTGATTTGCCTATCAGAATACCTTTGTTCATAATAAGAGCTAAAACTTAAATAACACTATGTACCATCCACTATTTTAGTTGTTTAGATATTATTGGCTTATTTAATTCTTACAATAATCCTATGAGATGATACTGGTATTATCCCCATTTTAAAAATGATGAAACTGAGGCACCAAAGTATATAAAAATAAAACTAAATTCATATATTAAATTCTTACTCTTAGATACTATACTAAGTGTTTTATGTATGTCTTAATCTTCAAACTCTTGACAACCTTGTGAGGTGAGTATTACTATCTTTTTACATATCTAGGTACAGGTTCAATAGATTAG